GACGTGAAGCTTCCTGACCACAGTGTCAGCAGGTCCTCATTCACCACCCACTGAATTCTGTTGAGGAAGCAGTTTGAATGTACTTTGCAGATTGTTTTGAACTTGAATCTTCTCAGAAATGTCAGTTTTTTTTATTTGAACTTGAATCTTCTCAGAAATGTCTTTTTTTTAAATAGAGTTTTATCCGTTGTATAATAACAATGATCAAAACACCAGTTTTAAGTTTTCTGGACATGCTAAAAAAAACAAAGCACCTTTTGGCCTGTGCACTGAAACAATGATACAAAGTCTAGATGTGACTGATCGAGTCAGATCAGGGAACAGTCCTGACCTCGTGTTGTATCGCCCCCTAGCTGTGAGATGCAGTACAATGACACTGCTGACAGTACTATCAACTGTACCAGGGCGAATGAACGGTGAGCAGATTCATCCACACAACAGCAAACATCTCTGTGTTACACTTAAATGGCAAATGAACTTTACTTACATGACACCTTTATTCACACTCACACTCACGGTGCTGAACAGTATTCGCCCATTCACACAAACACAGCGATGGCAACAACTTGGGGTTCGGTGTGTTGCCCAAGGACACTTCAGCATATGGAAAGGAGAATCTGGGCATCAAGGTGCCGACCTGAGGGCTCGGGGTGTCCCGCTCTACCTCCTGAGGCCCAGCCGTACGAACTTGACTGCCAGTTGCACGGTGAGCAGATTCATCCACACAACAGCAAACATCTCTGTGTTACACTTAAATGGCAAATGAACTTTACTTACATGACACCTTTATTCACACTCACACTCACGGTGCTGAACAGTATTCGCCCATTCACACAAACACACCGAACAACTTGGGGTTCGGTGTGTTGCCCGAAGACACTTCAGCATATGGAAAGGAGAATCTGGGCATCAAGGTGCCGACCTGAGGGCTCGGGGTGTCCCGCTCTACCTCCTGAGGCCCAGCCGTACGAACTTGACTGCCAGTTGCTGAAGGCCTACCCCAGAGCCTGTAGCCTGCTAAATACCACTGTGCGGGGCTGGAGTTTGAGGACCGGCTGCTTTAAGACCATCCTTCACTCTCTCTGGGCAGCTGCTCAGCACAGTTTTGTTGGCTGTTATTCTTATTTTTCCTTTTCTTCCACCACAGTCTTATAGATCATCGCCCAGGTCAGAAACATACTCTGAAATAATAATAGATCCTTGTCTGGCTTTTAAAAATCCAGAGTCAGGTTGTTCCATGGCCTTCAGGTTCAACATATCACACTAGTGACACTTTTCAAAAGGTTGTTTGCTTTGTCCAACATGTATTTGTTTAATAACTGCTCATTGTATTATGTCCTGTTTATTGGTTGATACTCAGTAAGTTAAGACAGGACTTGGTGGAGGTGACGGGTTGACTGACCCCACCATCTTGTTTTAATGAATTCACTTCTGGCTCTGGTTCTTCTGGGTTTTACAGCACACAGGTTTTCAGAATATGTTCTGTTCCCTCTGTAGCTCCTGAGACCTTCTGTCAGGACCAGACCTGCAGTGCTACCAAGTTCTGTGCTGAGAGGTTCGCTGGTGGTGAAACCAGTTGCTTCTGCTGGGCCATTCTTGCCTCTGACCACAGCTCTTTAGGTACGACAGCTGTGACTACAACATGACAACAGGGCTGAATAGTCTGAAGAAAATGTCTAACTGTGATTATTCTGACCCGACATTCAGTTGATTCGAAGGTGTGTGGGCTGGACTCTGCTTCAGTCACTGTGGTCGGTTGTCTCCTGGACGAAATGGGCATCGACTACTCTGCCTTACACCTCAATGACCAGACCTGCAGAGGTGTGAGGGACAATCAGACCAACATGGTGACCTCCAGCTTTGACAGCAGCAACACCTGTGGGGTGGTGTCCACGGTGGGTTCTGTCATCCACCTCTGTACTCTCGACAAGCAGCGCTCTGCTGAGCTTCTCCTGCTCTGTGGTTTGATCATTCTGCTGGTTCGGCTTCAGCTCTGACCTCCTTTGTTTCTAGTAATGTTGGTCACCCATGAAGTTTACTGTAGTTAGTCAGCAGTGAAAACAAACCAACATCTGAATCCCTTGACCCTGCAGGACAGAGGCAGCCAAGTAATCTACACGAACACCATCGTGATGCAGAACAGCTCCGACCTCATCGCTCGTCAAGACCAGTTGTACATCAACTTCTCCTGCTTTCACACTCAGCCAGACATCAAGACTATGTCCTTCAGAATCAAAGACAAGTGTGTGTTGGCTCTTGTGTTTGAATCAGTTTACACCGTGAAAGGAGGTTGGAGAGTATATGACAGCTGAAGTGTGTGTGTCTCTGCAGCTCTGTTGTCGTGCACGTCGCGTCTGGAGCTTGGGAGTACAATCTGACCATGAGGGCCTACACCGATGCTGACTGCACACAGCCTGTGGAGTCGAGCACTGAACTCCAGCCGAACCAGAGGATCTGGGTGGTGCTGGAGACAGAGGAGCTGGATGACAGCCTGGTTGTCCTGGTGACCGACTCCTGACCGCCTGGTTGTCCTGGTGACCGACTCCTGCTGGGTGACCGATGAACCGTCACCCAATGAGACTCTGAGATACGAGCTGATCGAGGGCAGGTGATTCTCTCAGAGGTGGTAGCTGCTCGCTGTTGTTCCCACTGATTCATTAATACGTGTGATTTCTGGTTCCTGAACACGACGTCAGCTCTGATGTGCTCTGTGTTTCCTGTTTGTGAGCAGCTGTGCGAACCCCACTGACAAGACGGTGGAGGTGGAGGGAAACGGACTGGGACTATCCAACCATTTCTCCTTCAACATGTTCCAGTTCTCTGGGCACACTGGTGACGTCTACCTGCGCTGCCAGGAACATCTGTGTGCTACAAACAGCTGTGCCCCAGTACGCCTCGCTGGCGAGTGGCAGTGTACGGTCACCTTTAAGTTTAGTGGAGACAGATTCATCAGCATCACCTTCATCTGCTGGTTTGAACACGGTGTCATTTTGCTCGGTGTTGTTCTTCCCACTGATTATTTCAAACTGTTTGTCTCTTTTGAGTCATTTGCAAGATGTTTCAGTACAAGCACAGAGGACGGAGGCTGCTCTTAATTCAGACTAGATGGGATCCATACACTAACAACATTGTCATTATGGAAATATCTGAATTTCAGAAGAACTGTAACATTTGAGCCTTGGAATGAAAAGACTTTGCATGGAACACAAAGTTACCCTTTATTTACAATTCATTTGTTTAGAGTCTGATAAATTCTGGTCAGTGAGACTGAATATTAGGTCCAGATCCTTCTCAGGTAGATAAGATGTGCTGATGATTATCTTTTTATTCACACCTTAACACAAGCAAACAAATAATCTTTTGGCATCTGAAGAGCTGCTTTGTGCTTCTGGTGGCATGTGGGAGGTTTCTCATTAAAGCAAGAAATGAAAAGTCCTGGCAGGAGAACTTTGTTCCATGCAAATGGTCAGACTGAAGGATACTGACAAAGAAAGGTTTGCTATCTGCAGCTTCAGTCGCCAAATATCTGGATGATTGCTGGTGTCCTAACGTCTGGACTTCATCTCTCTCTGTCTTTAACCTCCAGCTGTGTAACCCAGCTGCTCGGAGACGCTGATCCACCAGGGCTAAATATGAAGAAGACGCTGTGGCCTTCATCACCATGGCCTGGACTAATTAGGTAAGACACAGCGCTGCTGCTGAAGATTAGCATAACTTTGAAACAGGTGTATGTTTACTGAATAACTGAGGTTTCTGTTAGTGCTGTTTGTGCCTGAAGAAGACTGGTGGAAATAAAAACGGAGGAGCAGGGCTCAGCTGCACTTTGCATCCTCACAAACAGACCGTAGGAAGAAGTTGTAAATGTGACTTCAGTTACTGCTCTGCAGCTTTAAAGGAAAAGACCTCGGTCAGTTTGGTCTGGTTGTCTCCTCAGGTTGTGTCCACGACGACTCGGACTGACCGACCAGCCCTCGACCTTCACTGTGATCCCTGACTTCTGACCGGTCCTGATCTGGAGTCTGGACACGTCAGTCCTTGGAAGCATTGTTGGGACAGGACCAAAGTGTCGTCTTTGACACAGCATTATTATTGCTCTGTTAATAGTAACATGATGTGTGTCTACAGGTGATTTTCTTTAGAACCAAATTAATCCATCTATCGTATATCTGCACTACAAATCTAAAATATAATCACAGCGATGGTTTGGGTTTTATCTGACCTCCCAGGACGACGATACATAATTATTCTTCGGATCATATGGACGACAGATCAGGTCAAGAACTAACTCTGCCTTGGTCCAAATGGCAGTTTGGGCCCTGTGTTAAATGGGCTCTGACTCACGCACAGTTCAGATGTAAACCTGCTCAAATTAAAGCTGAGACTTGGCACTGTAATGTCATATTCATCGGTTTATTTACGAATCATTGTGCTAAAGAACAAAAAATGAATCACTGTCAAATACTTATGGTCTGGACTGTGTGTTTTTGTATAAAACTGGTCAGTTGATGTTTTTCCTCGCTGACACATCTGGTTTTCCTCTCTCTTCCCATGATCTCCATCTGCTATGGAGCTGGTCTTCAGCTGGCAGCTTTTTCAGATCCATTAAACATTTAAACCATTTGTGAAGATAAAGAAAAAGAGAGATGACTGTTAGTGTTTTAGGAAAGTCTGCCTGAGGTCTCTCCCACATGGATGTGGTTTGAGTCCAGCACAGAAAATCCTGTGTTAGTGGTATGAAGACGAACTCTTCCCATAATGCTTACAGCTGTATGGTTTCTCCCCAGTGTGGACATGCTCCTGTTTGGAGCAGATTCATGACAGTTGTGATGGTTTCTTTCCAGTGTGTGTTTGTTTATGACGGAGAAAGACCTGCTTTGTTCTCAAATCAATTATTTTTCTTCAGTGTGTATTTTTCTGTGATTCTCGTAGCCACCTCGCTGAGTGATGAATATTTAGCTCGCCTGGCTTCATGAGCGCTTTGCTCATAGCAGTGAGGTTTCTCTCCAGTGTCTTTATCGTCAGCGTTAAGCTGCCAAGAGATGGCCGTGTGCCGCCACACCCCTGGCACTGGATTCTACTAGCACTGATGTTCTGAACGGTGTCATCAGGACACAGACACGGTAAGTCCTGTCTGTGTCCTGCTACACAACTTAAAGCTAAATGTTGTCACACAGTACTGGTATGCTTTTAGCACTATTTAAGGTCAAAATGAGATCCAAACACTTACAAAGCAGAGCTATGTTTTTATTCTGCCATTATGTTTTGGTGAGCTCCAGGTTTGGTCTCCACCACCTGCTGAGGGAAACCTCTGGCTCTGGAGCTGCTAAATGCTGCCCTGAGTTCCCTGGCTGGACTCTGACTGGGTCTGTCTGCTGTTCGCTGCTGAGCAGGTGGTGGACAGGGGACAGCGGCTTCCTGCTGTGGCCCAGAACCAGGCTATGAGAGCGCTGACAGTGAACCGGGACAGTAACGCTGTGGTCCGACACTGAACGCCGAGGGCAGCTGCAGATTCCTGACCCCTGTGACTGCAAATTCTTAATATTTTCAGTGATTCACAAGCAGATAAGGATAAGGATAATCACCTTTATTGGCCAAATGTGTTACACACAAGGAATTTGTTTCTGGTACAGAACCGATGTAGATATTCAGTAAAATCAGGACAAAACAGTCATTATTGATTATACATTTGCTATTATATATTAGTTATAAGCTGTATTTGTGTGTATAAATGGTGAAGCCATGTATCTGTTCTGTAACAATATACTGACAGAAGATCACTAAAGGTTTGCACATTTTACATTTCTTCTAACAGAGAATCTAACCAGGAACAGGAAACACAGCGGTTTGTAACAAAAATATGACCAAATATAAAGCAGGCCTCGTTCTTCCTGCAGATACTTGAGATGTTGCAGCACTGTTCCACATAAAGTGGCTTTTAGATGTTAATAGAAACAACCAGCCGTCCTGTCTTATACCGAAACAGTGCTACGCTACTTTACTACACTACCAATATACAGAGCATGTACAACACGTGTATCAACCTGACATACAAGGCATAAACCTAGCTACCAGTTCCAGATGCAGACAGAACATGTAAAGACGACACAAAGCTCAGGACAAGAAGAAACAGGAGGATCGACCTGTGGATGTGTGTGATGTACAGCTAATGTATGTGGGACTGCTGCCTGGTCATTCAGTCTGGGCGGCACAACGGCTGCAGCCTGGCAGTTTCCCCACCCTGTGCAGGAACAGCAGAGGTAGCAGCAGACTGCTGGGCAGAGAGAACCAGACTGAAGACATGAGCAGCACACACCTCTCAGCCTGCTCCACTGACAGACTGTACATCACAGTGCAAATCAGGACCCCCAGGAACCGCAGCAACAGAACCCCCAGTATGGCCACGATGGTGTTCACAGCCCGCTGTTTTAAGTGGTCAACCCGCTTGCTGCCCCCGTCCCCAGGCCGTGGGTGAATCAGAACACAGACAACAGAGATACTGCAGAAGGAGACAACAGCAGTGGAGCAGGCCATGAAGCAGACAGCTGAGATGCTGCTGAAAGGAACGAGAAGCTCCTGGGTTAGAGTCAGGCATCCGAAACACAGCAGCCAAATACACCCAGTGACGATGTTTCTGATCCTGACCCTGCCCACCTGCCTCAGCCCCAGGTAGGTGAGTGGGTGAATGACAGCCAGGTAACGCTCGGCACAGGTGAGGATGTGAAACAGGGTCTGTCCGAGTGAGGTGACGGTGGACGTGTAGGAGCCCAGTGTCATCAGACTCCCGAGGTCAGCGTAGGCGCCGAAATAGGTGAAACTGTTCCCCAGGATGCCGAGCAGCTCCAAGGCAATCATGTTGTAGGTTAGGAAGTCGGAGTGACTCATGGTTGCCATGGCAACACGGGGCTGTTTCCGCCATCGCTGGAGGGCCACGCAGAGGACAAGGATGAAGACAGGGAGGAGGAGGAGGTTGGAGACAGAGTAGGCTGTGAAGACGAAAACCCCCGTTCTGGATTTGAAGCAGAAGTCAAGTGACACGGGGAGGGAGGGGGAGGAGTTGGAGGAGAAGAGATGACGAGGAAGATGGGACACACTGGGGGATGAAGAGGAGCTGAGTGACATTATTGGATCAGTCTGGAAGCCTGAGGCAGAGAGAGAAACCACATCAAAGGGAGACACAAACCCCTAATGCTGCACACTCACTGTAAAACAGGAAGCTGGACAAAAGAAGAAGAAGAGAGCCAATTAGATGAACTAGACTGTGAGGAGATGTCCGGCACTGTTTGAAAGCTAAAACTGTTCAGAGACTCAGACTTTGGAATTGGTCAAGTGTGTTTAATGAAGTCAAGGTGGGAGCAGCATCCTCAGACGTCTCTGTACCGACCAGGGGTAGGGTTAGTATACAAGAAGAGCACAAACCCCCTGTGACCCTCTGGTTTTCTGAAGAGCAGGGTTTGAAGCTCAGGTCTGGCCGTCGCCATCTTGGTAGCGCTTCCCTCCACCTACTACGTCTAATCCAAAAAATGTGAGTGGAGCTCACTAGGCAGCTGGCGGCCAGCCACCTGTGGCAGACCCCTCCCACTTGTCATGCAAAGCGGCCACACCCTAGATGAATGTGTAAATTTTAGTCTCAATATAACTTAAATGAGTGAGTTATATAAAAATTCACCGGTGTACAGTTGTCATGGAGGGAGACATTAGCCATAAAGACCAAGTCTGCTTTTGGTACCAGGCTGTACACATGTTTATTTCTGCTCTAAAGTTGGCCACGGGAGTTTATGAGGACTGACTACCTTATGGATCCAGCCTCTAGTGGCCGTTCGAGGAACTGCAGGATTTAACACTTTCTCACTGGATCCATTTCTCAGCCTCGGAGGCTGGAGTTTGGTGCCGACTGATACAAATTGGTTTCAGCAGCAGCTGTAAGGACTGAGTCCTTAAACTGAGAAATGTAAAAGGAAAATTAAAGGAAGGAAGGAAGGAAAGGAAAAGGTTCAACTTAATATCTTAAGTTTATTGAACTTTATCAAGTTCAGCTAAAAGCATGAACTCCCCAGTTCATCTTCATTCATTAGTTAACTCCCATTTTAAGGCAACA